CTAATCTCTGTTGGAGTGGAGAAATGGGCTTTGGAAGCTTTTGAAGTGGGTAGGGAGAAAATCCGTCTCTCTCACCTTCAGTTTGTTGATGATACCATCCTTTTCTGTTCCGGCAATCCTAATGCATTTAAAAACCTTAATTGCCTTCTCGGTTTCTTCAAGGCCATTTCAGGTTTGAAGATTAATAGGAGCAAGAGTTTGTTATTGGGAATTAATTGTGAGGACGTCAAGGTCAGTGAGTGGGCGACTCTCGTAGGGTGTGAAGTTGGTAAGTTTCGACCTCTTATCTTGGTCTTTTGTTAGGTCACAATCCAAAGTCTGCTACCTTTTGGGCGTCGGTATTGGAAAAGTTTCAGAAGCGCCTCTCTAGTTGGAAGAAGGTTTTTTTCTCTAAAGGAGGGAGACTCACTTTAATTCAGTCTGTTGGAAGAAGCTTTTTTTCTCTAAAGGAGGGAGACTCACTTTAATTCAGTCTGTTCTCAGAGGCATTCCGAGCTACTTTTTGTCCCTCTTCAGAATCCCAATGACTGTGAGTGAAGGGCTAGAGAAATTAATGTGGGATTTTCTTGGGAAGGTGTGGAGGAAGGGGTGGGGCTCATCTTGTTAACTGGAAAGAGGTTTCTAAGCCTCTGAAGGGGAGGGAGAGCTGGGCATTGGGAACTTGAGGATTAGAAACGAGGCTTTCTTGGCTAAATGGTTATGGCGGTTCTTCCACGAACTTAATGCCTTCTGGCGAAAGATTATAGTGAGTAAGTATGGGCTTCATCCGTGTGGTTGGGTTCAGGCAGGTGGGGCTAGAGTTAGCAACTACAATCCCTAGAAGGCTATTGCTTTGGGTTTCCCTGTTTTCTCTCATTCTTTACGTGTCTTTGTAGGGGAAGGTCTTAATACGTACTTCTGGGAGGATACTTGGATAGGCGACAAACCCTTGTGTCTTGCTTTCCCTCGGATCTACTTTCTATCTGATAAGAAACTCCTTTCAGTGGCCGAGGTTTTAAGTTATGGAGAAGAGGGTTTTTCCATCTCTTTGGGGCTCACCCGTTCCTTGACTGATCGGGAATCGTCAGAGGTTTCCGAATTACTGGATCAGCTGTCTAGAGTTTCCTTATTTGTTGGGAGGGATGATGTGAGGGTGTGGACCCCAATCCTTTGATAGGTTTTCTTGTAGCTCCTTTCTCCATGTCCTGAACTCCTCGTCTTCCTATTCTTCTTCCCCGTCCCTGTTGACCCCTTGGTTCACCTCGCTTTGGAAGATTAAAATTCCAAAGAAGTTCTTTGGGTGGCAAGTCTTACTTGGAAAAGTTAATATCTTGGATGTCCTCCCTTTGTTTGGGTCCGCAGTGGTGTGTTCTGTGTAGGAATGCTACGGAGGATCTTGATCATTTGTTGTGGTCTTGTCAGTTCGCGCAGGAGTTATGGCTTCGTTTCTTTAGATGTTTTGGGATTGTTTGGGCTCGTTCTAGAGATTGTAGGGCGATAATGGAGGAAGTATTGTTATTCCCCCGTTTCGAGACAAAGGTCATTTTATTTGGCAAGTGTGTTTTCTGCCTACTCTATGGGGTATTTGGCAGGAGAGAAACAATAGAATTTTAGGGGAGTGGAGAGATTTGTGGATTATGTGTGGGATCTTATTAGATTTAACACTTCTCTATGGGGATCTGTCACTAAGGCTTTTTGTAATTATTAGTTAGGAGCCATACTTTTGGATTGGAGCCCGTTTCTTTAGAGGTTTCCTTCTGCTGGGCTGTTTTTTTTGTATGCCCTCTTATTGTAGTCTTTTATTCATTTATCTCTTATTGTAGTCTTTTATTCATTTATCTCTTATTGTAATCTTTATTCATTGAGATTTTATTCATTTATCTCAATGAAAGTGCTATTCCTTATAAAAAAAAAATATTAGAGCATTCTAAATTTTAGACAGCATGCAGTTCCTAAATCTTCAAATGTCCTTACTTTCTGTTGAATGGAAATTATATCTGATTTTTGTACGACTGAAATTTACACATAGTGAATTTCTGTGTAAAATGTTTTATATACGTGTAATGAATTGGACATAAAACACTTAAATAATCTAAACAAGAAATTATACACATCATCTTTTTAGTTCATTTTTTAGCATTACATTTTCTTGGTTAAAATATTCTATTATCTAAGTCTTACAGGTGATACTTCTACTTTACATACAATTGAACATAAATATCTTTACTATAACAACTTTAAAGGTTTGATGAGAAATTGATGATTAATATTGAATGTTCAAGATCTTCAATAATTGGATGGTATTGTTAAATTTAACATAATATCGTTCGTTTAAATTGTTTAACCTTTTTTTTTTTGGATAGGTATTGAGGGTGGCAAGTTATGACAATGAAACTGAAATCTCTGACCTGCCTTCTGCCCTGGCTAGACCATCAAGTAAGGGAAACCCTATACAAGATCTAAGACGCAATGTTAATCCAAAGTACAAAGTTGATGAATTGAATGAACCTCCCCCTCGACTTCCTGGTATTCGCTCATTGCTTCCCTTACCTGGCGGTGATTTGTTGACTGGGGGTACTGACTTGAGAATACGTCGATGGGACCATTACAGGTTTTCGTTTTACTTCCTTTCTCATTTGCTTTGTTATGGAGAAGTTTATTCACTCCTTTTTTTTTGTTGTTGCAGTCCTGACAGAACTTACTCCGTCTGTGGGCCAAACTTGAAGGGAATTGGAAATGACGATTTCTATGAGACAAGATCTAGTTTTGGTGTGCAAGTTGTGCAGGTATTTTTGCTTTTCTTGGATCTTACCTCAAAATTTGTGGTGCGATATTCATACCTACAAAGTTATGTTCGAGGAACAAACTTCTCTTGTTCAATCTCTGTACTGGCCTCAAAAGTTCGGTGATTAGATTGTTTGATTATTCTGTGAATATATCCCAATAGCGTACGATTTAATTTTCTTGAAAAGCCAGTCAAAAAATTTTCATTTTGCTTTATCCTGCTGCCATTGTATTTGCTTGTGTTTGTTCCAAGTTTCCATCCCCCCTGTATTAAATCAATTAAAGCTGTAATTAGGTGCAGCAGAAATTTTGATATTTGCTAAACTTATTTTAAGCAAACGTGGGGGTGTAAACTGCTAACCATTTTCCTAACAGCAAAATTTTTTTGCTGTCTTACGATTGCTGGGAAGGTAATAGGTCAACGAATAGACTCTGACAAGGTTAAACCTACACCAGATAAGGAAAAGCAGGGGTAGTTCAAAAGGGGAATGAGTTAGAGAAATAACTGGAAACCATAGGTGGAGTGGGGAGAGGGACAGAGGAATGTCATTGGTGGGAGGGGATCAATGATTAGGCGAGCAGCTATTTACTTGATAAGAATCTCTGCACCTTCACTTCTCTTGTGACTGAAATTAGCTAGAAATCCTTGATTTTGGGTTCTATCATAGATGTGATTGTAGGGTTATGTCTGCACGATCGTTTGGAATTGGATATTGTTTATGGCTCATGGATGGATGAGTCGGAGGGAAATGAGGGTTAAATTGGAGGAATTTATGGCCTTCTGATCAGGGATATTCCGGGTAGTAACCTCAAGCTAGTTTGATTGAATTGTTTTCTCCTTCAGAACCAAAATCAAAGCATCGTACAGAGATTTTCTTTACATAGTCTTGTTTTTCAGTAGCTTGGAGCTCCATTTACAGATGCTTTTGCATGTTTTTAGCTGTTCTCTAAGTTCCTGCAAACACTATATGCAAATTATAGTTCTTATGCTGTAATTGTTTTCTATTTTGTGTCGAACAGGAGACTAGGAGACGACCACTATCGACAAAGTTGACGACTAAGGCTGTTCTTGCTGCTGCTGCAACTGATTCTGCTGGTTGCCATCGGGACTCCATTTTGTCTCTGGCTTCTGTGAAGTTGAACCAGAGGCTGTTGTTATCAGGCAGTAGGGATGGAGCCATTAAAGTTTGGAAGTAGACAAGACAAGTAAACTCTACGATCTGCTGTACATACTTAGGGTCATTGCTAATATAAATTGCATATGTTCTTAGGCTAAAATGTTCAGTTCTTAGCTAGATATGCGAGTTTTATTGTCCCTTTTGCATATAGTAAATTATACACTTTTTCTTCTTTGTATAGCATCTGCAGTTTAAGCATAAAGAAAATATAAAAGGTAATATCAATTGTTTAAATTCATTGTTAGTGCAGTGAATCTTACCCTTTTAACAAGTTCTGGAATTTTGAGCCACTCACTCGCTACAAGAATATTTTGACGTCTAATGGCTTTTGTTTTTGAACGACTTTTGAGGAATAAATTGTCCTATAGGAGAAATAAACTTTGACTACACAAACTAATGCGAGGTGTGGGCTGGAATTTGTAATTTTTTAATTATTTTAAAAACGTGTAAAAGTTTTAAGTAACGATGTCGATGAAAATGCTGATTTCTATGAAAATTATGATGTCATAAATATTTCTTAAAAAATCATAAATATTGAGGGAAAAAAAGGCCTTTTACAATTTTGATTAAGTTATTTTTTTTATTATATTTTGTTAATATATATTTTTCATATTTAGTCCCTTTTTACGTAAAAGTAAAAATGTCTGATGGAAATTTAATAGCTTTACATCAGTTTTTTTCTTCCCTCCCTCCCTCTTTCTTCTTCTTCCTGATTGTCTTCTGAGACTCCTGGATTTAATTTTTTTTTCAAAAGTTATTTTCTTTTAGCTTGTTTTCACCGCTGTAGTAATTTGAGGGCACAAAACAATAATCTTACTATATACATATCTCCCAATCAGCAACCATAGCATTTTAAAATAGTTCTAAAGAAAAAAAAAAGGCTTCCCTAAACGCTGAGTAAGTGATGATCATCAGTGTCTCTCTTAGGAACAAACTATTAATGTTTGAAGTCTAAAGATTCCATTATGGCTCAAATCCTCCCCTGCTGTTTATACTTCTTTCAGCAAAAAGATAAAAATTATCACACTGTAAATATTCTCAATTATGCTAAAACAGTAATCATTTAAAAGAGAGTGAAACAGTGACGTTTTATTTCATATCATGTCTATTGGTGCTTTCAGTCTTTAGCTAGTTTCTTGATTATGGATTTTGATTTATTTATAAGAGGAATGTGGTGATTAACATAATGTACAAATTCAAGTAAGCTCTCCATTTAGGACTAATGAAGCATGTCTGATAACTCTAGCCACTCTCCATACTTGGTGTTGTACAAACTGCCATGCCTTTGCACTGTTGTTATGTTCTGCCTCGTCTATTGTGTCGTAAATCCCGGGAAAGGATACCGATCCGTAATCATCGTGCTTTGATGGCCCATAGATCTGTGTAATACCGAAAAACCAAATTGGTCAATTTGATCTTTTTGAACGTGCTAAGATTCTTTAGGCTTCCCTTGATTTATGAATGGAAATGATTTTGACAGAGATTCCTGTCCGAGAGGAAGCTTACCAAATGCTTATACCATGATCTTCCAAATAGACCATCATCATCTGTAAATGCTCGTTCTGCCATTATCAGTCTGTCGTTGAGTTCTCGTACCTCTGCGAAGCTTCTCTTCCACATTTGTGGTAGCCATCTTTTGATTCCCTTTAATGCCTTTCAGAATCCAGAAACAACATATTTTCAAATTATGTGACATAATTTGGAGTGCATACTTGAATCTACAAATGATTTATAAAAGTACCTTCATCTGGTCTTTGATTTTGGTAGCTGCTTTCTCAAACTCCTTGATGGCCTTGAACAAGGGAGTGAGGTCAATTTCTCTATCTCTGATGACATCTCTCAAGTCCTCTGCATAATTCTATTCCAAGATAATTTAGAACATTTCCATCAGGAATCTATATGCTGTATGATTAACCTTTCAAATGTTCAACTACCTGAAGCTCATTTGCATAAGAAAGATAATCGAAAGGCAAGAACTCCTCATCTGCTAGCCGAAGAACTACGAGACCCCAAATACTTGCAACTGCTCATAAAATTCATTATTTCTAATAAATGTCTTAGTTCTGATATGGTAATGTTTTGAAAAAACAGATAGGTTAGTTTATAACACAGTTATGAGGAGCTGTCAGACCTGCAACATGTCTTTGGAAGAGTGGGTCACCGTATTTTTTCATCCATACAAAGTCATCATACATCGAGTGATAAACCGGGTATCCTGAAGTCAAAATAGTCAAGATCCACTGTAAAATTCTACAAAACCAGCCCATAGCATCCTCAGATATGACATTTATAATAGGAAGTTGTATTTTTAACGCATTTCAATGTTGCTTTACACTGCTTGTATTATAAAAAATATTCAAAATTCTAGTCCATTGTAATACCCATACTTGAGACCCACGACCATCGACGCTCTTAGGCATGAAAAAGACGATCTAGTATAGTATTTCCTTGAAGTAGGCAGGTTAGTCTTAAACTATTATAGTTGAATTATGATATTATCTGCTGATTGGTACTAAATTCACACTTCCCTCAGTTAAGGTAACATTTGAAGGGAAGACAGAAGTTCTTTTTCCTCCCTACCTTCTCCAAATGACATGTCCACTGCAGGAATACCAGCATGTTGCAGAAAAGTTGCAAAATCTGATTGTCCGCTTCCTAGTCTTCCAATCTTAATCTACAAGGTTTCAGTTAAAAGAGATCAAAAGAGACATTCTATCATGAGTTTCAGAGCCAGTTTCGCAATCTCATCACATTAAAGTGGCAAGACTGCTCTTGAAAGATTCTTTACCTTGGAATTACTGGTGGCGAACCACGAATCATAGACAGTCTGTGATGAGTTGTCAGGATCAGGAACCTTGAGAATCAGATAGAATAAGGTTGATATGAGAAGAACGTTAATTTTTGTATAATCACATAATTACTTTCTACCTAAGACTGAAGAGTACAGTATGCAGTATAAGGTGAAGTGACCATACCACTTGAGAAGCTTGTTTGAGCAGCTCATCAAGCTGTGGGGTTGCAGAGGCAGCAAATCCTCCTGGTTCATATACTGCACTGTCAACATTTATGTAAGCTACGGCCCTCGAAGCCAGTAACTCTCTGTTCTCTTCGACCCACTCGGTCGAACCTACCTATAATACCGTAAAGATCAATAAGTTTCATATTAACAGATGCACACACACATGTACAGAGTGAAAGTGAGAGAGACCAAGCCGTATTCTTCAGCATCCCAATTGCAGAACACAATTGTCCGCCGTGGTTTCCATCCTTTCTCCTGCAGCTTCCGCAGGCGTTCTGCAACCTACTTAGTAATCATATTCATACTGAGATCTTAATACTCACCATCTAGCTGAAAAAGATTGGCCGAACAAATGGAAATTACCTCTAGCAGTACTGCTGTGCCACTGTTTGGATCAACAGCCCCATATGTCCATGCATCCCGATGGTTACCCAGAAGGACAAGTCTGGACAAATTTACAACACAGAACTGAATCCCAATAATCAGATTCTATTATCTCTTATAACTTTTAAGTTTCAGGAAGTGTTCATGTTCACTAAGACAGCTTTAATTCTAGAATTTCTGTTGGTACCTATCAGGCTCTTCTTCTCCTTCAATCAGACCAATGACATTCTGAATTGTCCTTATAACTTTCTCTCCCTGGAAATAAGGCCCAATATCATCATCTAGTTCTATCACATCTTAAAAAGCCTATAGACCCTATAAACAGCTTGAAACAAAGAAGATGAAAGTGTGCCCTCTGAAGTGAACCACTAACTTACAGAGTAACTAAGATTGACAATTCCAGGTCCTGGTCCAATTCTATAGAGTGGAGCATCCTCTCTTCCCTGCCAATCTTCACCGGCAACCTGCCCGCCGATCGTCCTCAGAATTGCCTCCCCGTCTGTGGCGGATATCGGCAGCGAAGGAATCAATGGAACATCGCCCCTCTTCTCTATGTCATCTTGTGATAGCCTCTCACACTCGCCGGAACTCGCCCACCCAGGAGTAGAAGGATCGCCTTGCCCGCTGTACAACGTTCCCACCTGAACTCCGGTGGGGGGCATCCACTTGCTATCCGGAAACCACCGCTCGCTGCCGTAGTCCTTCTTATCAGTGTACACCAAAGCTCCAATTGCCCCTGCCTCGTGCGCGTTCCGCACAATATCCCCTCTGAAGATTTCCCCATATCTGGCAAGTACAATATTCCCCGTCGCGTTGATTCCCATTTCTTTGAGAACCCCATAGTCCTCCGGCCGTCCGTAGTTCACGTAGACGACGGGTCCGACGACGGTGCCAGATTTCGCGTAGGCGTGGAATGTGGGTATTACTTCGTTTGCAACATCCGCATAAGGATCGCCGTCGTAAATCTCTTGACGGAGGTCGAATACGATTGGTTCTTCCGGCGGCGGAGGAGTTAGGGTCAACGAACGCGATTGTGGGTATGTCAATAGAACCTCGTAAGAGGCCATGCGGGATACGATTTTAGAGGAAGTGAAAATGGAGAAGACGTAATTCGCCGCCTCGGCGTTGGCTTCGGAGCCGGCGACGTGGGGGCGACGGGTAAGGGTATAAAGGTGGTTTGATGTTGATACATTGTCGGCGAGAGAGATAAAGAGGGAGTGGTAGGAGGATTTTGACGGCGAAGAATAGAGAAGGAAGGAGAAAGCGGCGATCGTTAGAACGGCGGCGGCGGTTCTGAACATGGAGTAATGGAGGTCTGTTCAGTTGGTTTTGGGGATTTGGGTTAGTGGTTTTGCCGGAAAAGCTGTGACCCAGAATCGATTGTGGTCTGAATTGTGAAATTATTTGGAAGAAGAAGAAGGAGAAAAAGGTGATCTTTCGGTCTCAGTTTCAGTTTCAGCCATTAAAGAAGAAAGTGACTGTGTTTTTGGTGCTTTTTCAGAGCCATCTTCAAGGTGGAGCCAAGGTAGTGTAGTGTGTAAGTTAGGTACTTTCTTCTAGTCATACAATCCAACATTTCATGATTACGACAACTTAACAAGTTTGTTCTTTTCTTTTTTGGTTAAAAATATGCATTGATGTAAACAAAAATAAATAATAATAATAATAACAATAATAAATTTTGGGCCGACTCTATTTTTTATATTTGAAAATGACTTTAATTTCAAAATTCATGAGCTCCTTTTTGTTCAGCTCTATTATTTCATATTTTTTTTAGAACTTTTGTTTATGTTCATACTACTACTTAGAGCGCTAACATTTATTCTAGTTATCATTGGTAGAGTGTGCTTTGGACTTATTACTGTAAATGACTAGAGTTGTTCTAGTGTGTCTCTTTTATGAAGCATATGGTGTTTTTTTTTTGTTATATGCATGTTTTAGGAGCGTTCTTCATTTTAAATAAATTTCTTTATTCTATTTGAACCTTATATATATATATTTTTTATTTTTATGGTAACTAATGAGAAAAAGAAGAAAAGTTGCAGATGATAATGTCATTCCCATACCCAAATGGTAATCTTATCTCTATGTTTTTATATTCACAACATGTTTTTTGAGTTCATCCCATTTGGGTAAGAATGCTTTGTCCCATCCCACAACTTATCTCTCTGTTTTTTGCCTTCCTTTATAACAGAGTGCTTCTTTTTTGGTGTCCTCTAGTTTCATTTTTCTCTCTCTTTTTGTGTTTCTTTTTCTCCTTAATTTCTGATCCAATGATTTCAATGACCTTGTTGGCCTACTTGGTAAAAGCAAAGCAGATGCACTAAATTTTTTGACAAATTTGGGTTGGAGATTGTAAAATCTCCTATTTGTTTTGTTTTCTCCAGGAACAAAAAACGTCTCCCAATGTTATATGGTATCGGATCTACTCAGTCACATGAGAGTGAAACTTTGTGTGTTAGTAAATTATGATTGTGGTTAAACTAATAGAGATTAATGGGAGAAAAGAAATCTCCTTTAAAGTTGAAATTTGAAAATTTCTTGTTATATTTAGGAGTTTCGGTTTCATTTATTTCTATTCAACATGAAGTAAAGAATCTTAGTATCTTCTTTCAAATTCTATACACAATTAAATCCTTTAATACAAACCACTGACTGCATTTAAATAAATTTATGGAATAGAGTGTCGTGTTGAAATTGTGATCTAAAAAATAAAAGAAAGAACCAAAAAGACCACTTTTTAAAATTACATGGACCGAGATAAATATTTCGGAAGCATGGAGACCAAAATAGATAAAAGTTAAAAGTATAAGGATCAAAATAGATACTCATAACATACATGAACAAAAAATAAAAGTACATAGACTAAAATAATATTTAAACAAACATGAATTAGACTATAGAGTCTTTGATATTTTGACATAACTCAACTGGTTAAGACATATTTTTCGATTATTAATTGAAGTTGAATAATTATTACTGATTCTAAAGTGAAAACTACAAATTGAAAAAGAATAATCTTGACATCACTGCCATGTGATACTTCACCTAAAAGTTTAAATGGCAGGTTTCATTTGTTGAAAACAGGTAAATCAGAGAACAATAATTCTGTATGCATTTAATTTAATAACGAAACTGCATACTTCTAGGCAGCCCAATTAGCTTATTTAACTAACTTTTTTTTAAAAGTTGTTCTAATGAAGAGCCTAATCCAGTAATGCCCACAGCTTTGGATCAAACTCAGCACCCAATACTAATACTGTCACATGTAAATTTTAGATTAAATTGTAAGTTTGATTTTCCTTTTCTTCATTTCGAAACGAAAAATAGATAACATTAAAGAGATAAATCCCAAACCTGTGAAATCTCTCCCTCCAAATTGAGTTCGTGCTAGCACATGAGCGATATGGTTGGACTCGTGTTTGATTGATCGAATGGAAACAACCATTTTATTCTCCATCAAAGTATAAATTTCGGTTCTTATACTTTGATAACAATATCTATTTAATTGTTAATAAGTTGGTCAACTTTTAAAATGATGTATATTTAATTTATGTAATTAAAAAAACTATTTAAAAAAAATCAATAGTTTTTTTTTTCATCTCTGAAAAATATGATTATTTAGTCTAAAACACTTAATCTTTTTAATGGATACTTGAATTTTTAACATTGTGTTATATTTAGTTGCTACATTTAAAATTATTTTTAATAGGCTCATTAACTTTTCATGTATACATGTTAAATGGGATAATCTAGTTAAAAGGAAGTCATGCAGAGGTTGGTACTTTTTTTTATTCTTTTTTTCTTTGATAAAATAATGGATGGAAAAACAAGTGCACAAGTCAGAATTACAAAATTTGATACTTAATCTTATTAAGCTGTATTAAATAATCATTATTTTATCTTCAAGTCATATTCTAGCCATTTTAATCTTCCCTTGTAAATAAAAATAAATAAAAAAAAACCATTTTTCTCCCTTTCTGATTTACTATGTTGATTGACTTTTCCATTCACCTTATACAAGTTCTACATCTTGCTTAAAAATAGAAAATAAAAATAATGGGAGAAATTGTGTAAATATGAAGTTAAATTATAAATTTAATTTCTAATAGGTGCCTAAATTTTAAGAAGCCTATAATAAGTCCCTAAAATTTAAATGTGTTTAATAAATTTCTATTAGGCTCTTGAACTTTACAAAACATCTAATAAATCTACCAACTTTCCATTCTATGTCTAATTGACTTAGGAGATACAAAGATTAAAATTTTATTAGACACAATACTAAATAGACATATTTTTATTGTTGAAGGCTTAAAACAAAGCTCAAAGTGTAAAGTCTAAAGACACAATTTTGGCCAAAAAGAGAATATGGGTGTGAGTTTACTAAAGAGCCCACCACTAAGGTTGTTGGAAGAGAAACAAATATTAAGAAACAATGAGAGAAAGACGAAAAGAAAAGAGAGAGAACATTCACGGGCAACTCCAAACTCCAAACAAACAACAACAACTGTTCAATTTTCTTTGCCACTGACCCACAAAGCCCACATTTTTATAACCCAAAAGTTGAACTTCTCTGTCTTCTGCCTCTGCTTCTGGCTGTGGCTTACATTCACTCTCTCTCTCTCTCTCTCTCTACTTGGATGTCAGTGGAAGCACCCGTGACCTTTAACTCCATTGATTCTCATTCTCTAATTACCCTTCACTTTCCACCTAATACATTTCTCCAATTAAGCTGCCTCTACTCTGTTTCTGTAATCTCTGATCTGTGTTGTATATAAACCCATTTCCAGTTTTCCTTTTCCATAACAATTCCAAATTATATTCCCTCTTCCACTTCCACTTCCACCTTCCAAATTCTTCATCTGAAATGTCAAGACTTCAGCCCCTTCTCCTTCTGCTTTTGCTGAGTCTGAGTTTGAGTGTCACGCAGAGCCACTGCCACACCAAGGGGATCAGGCCCCGGAACGAGGTCCGGAGTGCTCTTCCGAAGAATTCGACCAACACCCAATTCTCAGAACAGCAATTCATGAAGTGGGTCAAATTCGTGGGGACCCTCAAGCACTCTGTTTTCCGGACGGCCAAGAACAAGATTTTCCCTTCTTACACGCTCCACGTGGCTAAGAATCCCGCCGCCGGCGACTTCACGTCCATCCAAGACGCCGTGGATTCGCTCCCCTTCATCAATTTGGTCAGAGTCGTGATCAAGGTTCATGCAGGTGTTTACACGTGAGTGCTATGGCTAATACTTGGACTGTGATGGGACTCTGTTTTCAACTCTGCTTTTCTGTTTGTTCCCTTTTCTCGTGTCGTTTTCCTACTGTTTTCGATCTCCGTAGACATGAATTTTGTTTCTCAACCGGGCTTAATTTCACAGGGAAAAAGTGAACATACCACCGCTGAAATCATTCATAACAATCGAAGGCGCAGGAGCAGACAAAACGATCGTTCAATGGGGGGACACAGCACAGACGCCTGGCCCAAAGGGGCAGCCAATGGGGACCTACAACTCCGCCACATTCGCAGTAAATTCCCCTTACTTCATAGCCAAGAACATCACCTTCAAGGTAATTAAACTTTAAACCCCCCAAAACCCCTCAATTTCATATGCTACAAATCCCTCAATTTCTCCCTCTGCAGAACACAACCCCAGTGCCGGCGCCAGGGGCAATCGGGAAGCAGGCGGTGGCGTTCCGAATATCCGCCGACACGGCGGCGTTCTTCGGCTGCAAATTCCTCGGGGCTCAGGACACGCTGTACGACCATCTGGGTCGGCATTATTACAAAGATTGCTACATCGAAGGGTCCGTGGATTTCATATTCGGGAATGGGCTGTCTCTGTTCGAGGTAAAACTAAAGGCTGTGGTAATGGGAAAATTGAAACGGTGAAATTGATGATTTTGATTTGATGGGGTGTTTGTGTTGTGGTAGGGGTGTCACGTGCACGCAATAGCGCAGTACACAGGGGCGTTGACAGCGCAGGGGAGGAGCAGCCTGCTGGAGGACACAGGTTTCTCATTCGTAAACTGTAAGGTCACGGGCTCTGGTGCGCTCTACCTCGGCCGGGCTTGGGGCCCCTTCTCAAGGGTCGTCTTCGCTTATACGTATATGGACAACATCATCATTCCCAAAGGCTGGTACAACTGGGGCGATCCCAACCGCGAAATGTACCCTTTTCTCTCCCTCTATCTCTTCTGCTTTTGTAATTTTCCATAACATAAATCCGCTAATAAAATGAATACATCACCGCTCAATCCAAAAAAGTTATCGATTTAGATAAACTCAAAAGAGAAAGAAAAAAGTGTCAGCAGTTTCAGAGCCAACTCACGGAGAAGAAAGAGCGAATCTACGTGGAATGCACCAAACAAAACACTGCAACTAAAAAAATAAAGAAAAACAGAGCAAACTTTTTAGTTTTAGTAGATGAATATTTTATGCAGTGAGGGCGGCAGAAACAGAGCAGGGAGTGACCCACCACCGCCGGCGGCGCCGCCATGAGATGGTGGTTTTGGGCGGTGGCGTTTTGGGTAATTTAGAAATTGATTATTGGTATTGATTTTTGGGGCAGGACTGTGTTTTATGGGCAATACAAATGTACAGGAGAGGGAGCAAGCTATGCAGGCAGAGTTTCATGGTCCAGAGAGCTGACTGATGAAGAGGCCAAGCCTTTTATTTCCCTTAGCTTCATTGATGGCTCTGAATGGATCAAAATATAAACCTTTTTTTCTTTTTCTTATACACATTTGGGAGAATTTTACTTATCATTTAGAGAAAATTGGAATACCATATGGGGTTAGCGGCTACCTATGTATTTAAATCATTTCACTTTATTCATAAATCTATAAAATTATATTCACAATATTATATATGCATTTATCATATATTATTGTCTTTTTGTTTTTTCTCTCTCTTTTTTTTATTATTAATTTTTTGTCATGTATTTAAGTTAGTAAAGTGACGTTTTTGCCCACACCCGAAACTTTGTACTCTCACTTCATTATAGAATCTACCTACAACTTTTAGGTTTTTGGTTAGATATGTGATAATATTTATGAATTATGAAGTCTTTTTTCTTTTTTTTAAAGAAAAAGATCTTTTTGCTCATTTGAAGAATATTTGAATATTCTTTTCAAATTTAATGATTGTTTTGAGAATAATTTAAGTGAAAAATAACTTTAAAAAGATTTATTAACTAACTATTGTTAATAATAAAAAGAAATAAATTTTGATTTGAAAACTTTAGGTTACGAGTGAATAATTATCATCAATGTGTTCATCCAATTATATGGTACTAATGTGGAGCTCGTCTCGACCCATAAAGGTCGGGTGCACCTTGGCGCAAAAAGTGGAGCTCACGACTACGTAGGCGAGGTATGTCCCATCTCAATTAGAATGTCTTGGAGTCTCTCCTATCTTGAGTCATGCCAGTGTACATATATCAAACTAGTGCATCTTCATCTCTAAATACAATGTACAATGTACAACATATGGGTATCTGGCTAACATGTTTCTAGAATTACAAGATATTACATAAACCTAGGTACAAAACTACTAGATGGTAGAATTGTACCTAGAGTCCTATTTAAATATCTGAACTCCCCCGTTCAGATATACAATATCACCCCTCTCAACTCAAAATCACCTCAATCTAATACTAATTTAAGTATAAGAGTGTGTTAGACACAACAGCGCAACCCATACGAGTACCACGGTTAAGTCACCTCAAGCTTGGATCCGATGTCAACATCATTCACATATGCCAAAATAAAAAACATAATAATAATAAAAAAAAATCTCTGTCCACCAATGCCTTAATCTTTTAATTGTAAGATTACCTAGAAATTTGATAATTACAAATATTAGCTTTGGTATGGCCTCTCCCCCAAAAAGTTAAATTATTAAAAGAAACATAAAGAAATGGGTGTGGTCTGACCCTGTTGGAGAGAGCATCTGAATGTTTGAGGAAGAGACAGAAGACAAATTGGACAAATTGGTGCTGCCCTCACAAATTTCAGAATTTTCAACAAGTAATTTTTCTATGGTTTTTTCTTTTCTTTCTTTTCTAGACACTCAGTAGAACATTTCAAAGTAGGATAAGGATTTATATTTAAATAAAAGGTAAAACAAATCATTTAATTTATAATGTTTTAGGTATTTTTGAATTTATTTTTCCTCCAACCTTGAAAGAGGAGCTGCACCATAAAATATTAAACTTGGCCCAAATGTTGTGGAAGAGAAGTTGAAATGGAAGAACCAAACAAATCCCTTCATCCCATCCTCTCATTGGGTCTCAACATGAAACACAGGCCCACTGGACCTACCCTTCCCCACTGCATTCTCTCACTCTTTTTATCTACATTTATCCGCTCAAACTTAAATATAGTTCAATCGATTACGATATTAAGTATTAACCAACGGCACAATGATAAGATATTATCCGTTTTGTTTTGAATTTCATCCAAAATACCTCATCAAACTAATAAATGCCACATCGGCATTCCGTTAGTGTCACTAACGAAATGTTTACACCAGGGATCTTTTAGAATTATTTTCTAAATGTCAGAGTCCAAAGTGTCACTTTTTGAAACTTAGGGACTAAATAAAAAGCTACCTTCAAAATTTAGAGACAAAAAATGTATTTTATATTAACCATTGTGATGCTCATTACTTCAACTAGTCCCTGTGTTTGTCAAATGGATCTCTTAGTTGTTGAGAGGGTTGCCCAAAAATAGTTTATAAGACAACGCTTAAAACTTACAAGTAAACCAGATATAGAGATGGTAACTAGGGTGGTGTTTCCATTGTTATATAATTTCAAGACCACAGGCACAATGATAAGACATTATCCACTTTGTTTTCGGTTTAACTCAAAATGTCTCATATCAATAGAGATGTTTATCCTTACATATATAGTAATGATCTCCTGCTTTTCTAACAAATGTGGAACTTTATCGACACTCCTTACAAATTCAACAAACTCATTTAAGTCGAACCCCAATTTAGATTACGTTGATTATTTACTTTTTTTTTTATTATTTTCTTTTGGCTTTTTGAACAGTGGTAGGCGAAATAATTCAACATACGTTGGAGTGATACGCATTTGAAAGTTGAAGATGAGAAACGTAAAATTAAAATTGAAAAAAAAAAAAAGGAAAGTGGGGGCTACCACGGGGAAGATGGAAGCCATTTCCAGCTCCCAGTTCTCCAGAAATTTGTTTTATTTGACACTGCCAACTCTGATTTGGTCTGTTTGGGCAGCCCCATCTTTTCACTCTTTCCCTCCCTCTTCCTCACATCTATGGTATTCAATTCATAAATAATGAAGTTAGTTTTCATTACAGCTTCTGATTCATCAAATCTTAAATCTTTATACCAAAAACTCCAGCAAGCTCTTCACTTCTGTATTCCTAGTGCATTTCAACTGAGCAATTTGAGTGGACAAGTTCTACTATAAACTAATATTTGGTAACCCAGGTTTTATGAGGTCCAATTCATGAAAACCAGGAAACAGAAGAGTCAAATATAAAACATATAAATGAATGAGCTGCCCAATTCCAAATCCAAAGATAGTGGCACCGTAGAGTTTGAAATCTCCCCTTTCTTCACGCCTTACGAAATATTCAACCCAAAAAGAAGAAGAAAAAAAGTTTTTTCTGATTTTCTTTGGTCTGGTGATCTTTGGGAGTGAAGATTCTCTTGGTGTTGCTTGTTTGTTCGTCCTCTTTCTCAATCTAAACCCTAATCATTATCAGCCTCCGCGCCAATTTTGCTCAAATAATTGCCCCAAAATCGAACTCAGATTCGATTTGACTGTCCCGCTTTTGCCTTTTTCGTCATTTTGGCTCAGCCCCCCTCTGGTTTTTCTGCTTCTTTAACAAAATCAAGACATGGGTGTCGCAGGAATCTCAAGAACTTGAAAAGGGGAAAGATAAAGACACAAGCTTGCCCATTGAATCTAATCTAATCTAATCTAATCAGTTGCATTCCACTTGATTCAATGATGTAAATTACAGTTCCGATTAAAGAAAGGAGAAAAAGAAAACACTGGGAATGAGAGGAATTTGGAATTTGGAATTTCATAATCTTCTCTGCAATTGGCATTCTGAGGGCCTGTCCAGTTTGCTCATCACTGCGTTCTTGAAATTAATGGCTTCTTGAACTTGAGAACACGACCTCTGCATCCGAACGCCGCTGAGGCTGCTCCGAGATTCCATCAATTCGTTCAGCGAAAGCCTCTTCTTCGTTCCCGGCTCCGGCCTCTGTTTCGGAGCGCTGTGGGACCTCAATTTCGCCTTAAACGACTGCGTATTCGCCATGTAGTTCGGGAAATTTAGGTACCCTCTGAAGAAATTGTCCGCACACATACTCTTCGCCGGCGTCACCACA